CTAACTCTTCTAATCTTCTTGTCTTCTGGATTTTCATTCTGTCGGAACAGTGGCACCTCCTGGTGTGATGAATCTCTTGCTTTAGTGTATGAATCTTGGTTTAAAACTCGGAAAATCAGAACATGGGTGCTTTCTCCTGATAAAAAAGATGTCAGCCCACACATTTTATTTGACCGATCTTCAGAAGATGTATACTCTGACCCTGGCTCACCAATGTTTCGAAGAACTGCGATGGGAACATATGTCATTGCAAAGATCAAGAAAGAAGACGGAAATACTTATGTCTTGTTGAATGGGATGGGTGCCACACCAGAAGGAAATGTTCCATTCCTCAATTTGTTTGATATGTATGTTTAGACCCACTAATCAATGTTCTGTATTTTTACTAGAATATAACAGTACCAATATATGCCATGTGTCAATTGATGCAATTGCTTGTTCGTCCCTTTTCTTTTGCAGAAATACTGGGAGTAAAGAACGGATATGGGAGAGCGACAGGGAAAAGTACTATGAAACTGTTGTTGCACTGATGTCAGACAAAACTGATGGGGAACTGTCCCTTGATCAGTTAAAGATACTTGCATCGAAAGAATCAAAAACAGAAAACACACAATATTACTTGCAGACTTGGCCAGAAAAGAATCAAGTTAAGATCACAAATTTCCCCCACCCATATCCTCAGCTTGCTTCCTTGTATAAGGAAATGATAAGATACCAGCGGAAAGATGGAGTTCAACTTACAGCAAACTTATACCTGCCCCCAGGGTATGATCCATCAAAAGATGGACCTTTGCCATGTCTAGTTTGGTCCTACCCTGGTGAATTTAAAAGTAAAGATGCTGCTGGTCAAGTTCGTGGTTCCCCTAATGAATTTCCAGGGATTGGTGCTACATCTCCTCTTCTTTGGTTAGCTAGAGGGTATTTTTCTCTTCTTGTTATTCATTAATAATAGAATATGCATACAATATATATTCCCATTTCTGTGACTCAAATTGTAGAATAATCCTCTGCACACCTTTAACCTTTTAATAAAAAGTTTTAAAGGGATTTTTTTTTAATCCATCTCTTGCAATATATGTTTTTCTGGTACATGCACACACACTGAATGCTATGATTTGCAGGTTTGCTATTCTGTCTGGTCCAACAATCCCAATTATTGGTGAAGGCGATGAAGAGGCCAATGACAGGTATATTTGCTACTTCTGATCTATTCCATATCCTTCTGCGGGACTAAATAATTTGGAACTATGCTATTACACCATAGTATATTTACTATTTCAGTATTACAAACTATATTGCAGATATGTGGAACAACTAGTAGCAAGTGCAGAGGCTGCAGTTGAGGAAGTTGTCAAAAGAGGGGTAGGCCTTTGCTACCTCTTCATTCACACAAATATGTTTATAAAATGAGTTTTTTTGCAATGACAGCCACTTGTATGAGTGTTTTTTATGGTTTACTTTGTAAAGTTCATTCATAGGTGGAGCCTTCAATTTTGCAAATATACTTAAAACATTCTTCTATCTTGAGCAATACCTTCTGATAGTTGACATGATCCCTGTTCTTGTATTTCTTTAGGTGGCTCACCCTGATAAAATTGCTGTTGGTGGTCATTCGTATGGTGCATTCATGACAGCTAATCTGCTGGCTCACGCTCCTCATCTTTTCTGCTGCGGAATTGCTCGCTCTGGAGCTTACAACAGGACTCTAACTCCGTTTGGTTTTCAGGTACAGACAAATGCTGTGTCTATATGCATGGAATAGATTTTGAGTCTTTAGTAACAATCTGATTTTTCTACAGAACGAGGATAGAACACTTTGGGAGGCAACAAGTACATATGTCGAGATGAGCCCTTTCATGTCTGCAAACAAAATCAAGAAACCAATTTTACTTATCCATGGAGAGCAGGACAACAATTCTGGGACACTGACAATGCAGGTCAAGTCTTGTGCTACAAGCCTGCTCATAGCCTATGAAATATATCATTCTCTCTGGAAAAGTGTTAGAACTTTGTTGCTACTTCCTACCATATATGATGTTTGAAGATTTTCCAAGCATTTTTTTATCATATTCAAATTTGACTTGTGTATAGTTGATATTAGCAAACAGCAACAAGAGTAATATTCCATACACAAGTAGTGCAAGTGACCCAAACTTCTGCAGTGATAGAGGCAGACTCGTATAAAGTATAATCACATATGCTACCAAGGACTACAATTTTAATTGTTGTACCAGGATACCAGTTTTCATTTTGCGTATGTGATATTAGACCTGCTTGATTTGGAGTGTCTTTACCTAGTGGATTAAATGACTTGTTGCTTCTGGTTGTTTTATACAAATCGTCATTGTTTTCTGTGGAAATATCCTCTATGTTCTCATGATTTGATTTTATGCTTATTCTTTTTACTGGTTAGTGACTTTTAGTAATCTGCGTTATTGATCTCATGGTTTGTCCTTTTTCTTTTTGCAGTCAGACCGATTCTTCAATGCCTTGAAAGGTCATGGTGCGCTATCTCGTTTGGTCATACTTCCTTTTGAGAGCCATGGGTACTCTGCTAGGGAGAGTATTATGCACGTCCTCTGGGAGACCGATAGGTGGCTGCAGAACTACTGTGTAAACGGTACTAGCAAGGTTGACTCAGTGTCAGAGGCTGACAGTGAAAACAAAACATTGTCAGCTAGTGGCGGCAGTGCAGCCCGTGAAGGTCTAAACCCCGAGGGATTCTCATCATTACCACGATCGCTTATGTGGTAAGTTTTTTCCTTGTTTGCTGCTCATGAAGAAAAAAGATACACTCGTTTGTCTGTTGGGTTAATTGGCGCTCCTGATATTGTCACACTTGTTTGTCTGTTCGGTCAATTGGCGCTCCTGAGATTGTCTTACGTAGGATTTATGATACCTGCTTTGAAGCTTATTGTAAAGGCTATGAAATAAATTTCTCACCCGCTTAATTATCTTATATCAAAGTTTCCACATGGAGCAGGCTGCTAACAATTCTGTCTTAAGTCTCTTACTGTGCAAATGCATGTAATCGTGTAAACAAATATTTGTTGTGATGCATTTTAAAAAGTAAGCATGTCAATACCAAATAGTAATAAAAGAAATGGTTTCAGTTTCAGTAACTTATTAGTTTTATTTTGTGCAGCTTATAGAGTAGTGTTTAATGGTTGAATTGTGCATCCATCTGCATGAACTTGTATACTTTTCTCAATATGTATCCTTCATAAAAAAAAAGATGATAACACACTTGATTCCGTACAGATCAACTTTCTTCAGTTGGTGTTCATGAAACATTCTCTGGACAGCCGACAGCAAGCCTAAAGGGAAAAATAAAGTGTGTCGTTGCACTTGTGCCAGAACTGGTGCTCCTTACCGTCTACCAGGGATGGCTTGATTGGCATCATATTTGTTTGGATTTCTGCAGGTGACCGTGTTACTGACATGTAGGAGCCCCCACTCCACAAAAAAAGAAGGTATAGGAAAGGCCTAGTCCCTGGCGGCCACTGCACCCAGATATATTTGGGTCAATTTGTATTCTATTGGTAGAGGCCAATGAAACTGCAATTCTTGCGATTAATAACTTCTATTGGTTGAGGCCAATGAAACTGCAATTCTTGCGATTAATAACTTGTACAGGAATGTAACCTTTTGCAGTTTTGATCCCATATCTCTTGCACTTGGTAGCGAACTGATATATTGCTATTCTTGGACAGCAAAATAATAATAATAATAATAAATATTGGAACTCTGCTTATCATGTACTCAGATGTCTTGGCATCGTCGCATTTACCTGTTACCAGACTTTATAGTTGATAAATTTTTTTATTTAATATATTTTGTAGGCTCAAATATAGATTTTAAGTTAGCATATTTTATAATTCAATTTTTTGAATTTTTCAAATGGCATCGAATGTTGACATAGCCTATATCTTGTAGGCGACAACTTTTTTTTTATCTAAGATTGTTTAGAGGTCTAAATGTTTTTTAAAATTTTCTAATTTGAAATTCCTTTTTTTTTTTAAAAAAATCACATGACCTCTAATGTTCTAATGTTGACTTGGTACACACCGAAGTTGTAGCTCTCAACATGATCTATACAACTATGTAGTTGATAACTTTTTTTTATTTGGGATCATTTAGAGGTCTAAATTGTTGACATTTGAAAAAAAAATCAAAGAAATTGAATTTCAAAATCTAAGAATTAAAAAAATAAACATTTACACATCTAAATGAAGCCAGATAAAAGTAGTATCAACTATAAACTTGTAGAACATATTGATAGCTCTAATTTTGGTGTAGACCATGCCAACATAGCAACATCGGAGGTAAAGATATGGAGAGTGGTTTCTTCCCCCTTTATTGGGACCGAGGGAGAAGTTTTCTCAATTAAAAAAATTCAAGAAAAATGTTTTTTTTGTCTAGTTATAAAGAAAGGAGATCATTTATTCTCAGGTGGAGATGCTCAGTTGCCTGACCAGGTCATGATGTGGATGTGGCAAACCCACTTCGGGAAGGGACCAAAAACTGGGCTACCACTTTCAGCGAGTGACGTGGAAGTGTTGAAGATCCGGGACTTTTCGCCGCGAAATGTACAAATCAAAACGAGGCACGAAACTGGCCTTGGCCGTGGACGCGTGAAGCGCGCCATGCGTTCGACATGTAATCGGATGGCTCGCAGTCCTCTCAGGTACTACCACTAATAATAAACTACTTGAGTACTTCACAGCCACATGCGTCCACGCTTAACCATAAACAAAACACCTGCACGTCAACAGGAGCTGCCATCAGTTTACATGCCGCATCTGAAGGCCGGATTAGTGAGGCACTGATGAACGAACTGCCGCGACATTCTATATATACCCTCGGTCCCTGTTCCAATTCTCATCAAGCAGCACGAGTTGTCGAACACTTGCCTGCTCTTGAGCTCAAGACATCATCAGCTGCTTCTCGTGCTCCTCAGCTTCCCAACTGCAACTGTAGCAGCGAAACTACCAACTGCCATGGAGGCCCAGAACGTGGAGGTTGCTGCCCTGGTGCAGAAGATCGCGGCCCTCCACGCCGACATCGCCAAGCTGCCGTCGCTGAGCCCGTCCCCCGTCGTCGACGCGCTGTTCACCAACCTCGTCATGGCCTGCGTCCCGCCGAGCCCTGTCGACGTGACCAAGCTCAGCCCGGACGCCCAGAGGATGCGGGAGGAGCTCATCCGCCTCTGCTCCGACGCCGAGGGACACCTTGAGGTGCACTACGCCGACATGCTCGCCGCCTTCGACAACCCGCTCGACCACCTCGGCCGCTTCCCTTACTTCAGCAACTACATCAACCTGAGCAAGCTCGAGTACGACCTCCTGGTCCGCTATGTCCCGGGCCTCGCGCCTTCCCGCATCGCCTTCGTCGGATCAGGTCCCTTGCCGTTCAGCTCGCTCGTGCTCGCCGCCCGCCACCTGCCGAACGCGCTGTTCGACAACTACGACCGGTGCGGCGCCGCCAACGACCGTGCCCGGAAGCTGGTCCGCGCGGACGAGGGCCTGCGCAAGCGAATGTCCTTCCACACTGCCGACGTCGCCAACCTCACGGACGACCTCCGCAAGTACGACGTGGTCTTCCTGGCCGCGCTCGTCGGCATGGCGGCCGAGGACAAGGCCAAGGTGGTTGCGCACCTTGGCAGACACATGGCGGACGGAGCGGCTCTCGTCGTGCGGAGCGCTCACGGGGCTCGCGGGTTCCTGTACCCGATCGTCGATCCGGAGGACATCCGGCGCGGCGGGTTCGACGTGCTTGCAGTGTACCACCCGGACGACGAGGTCATCAACTCCGTCATCATCGCGCGTAAGATCGGCGCCCACGCGAAGGGACTTCAGAATGGGCACGCGCATGCGCGCGGCGCGGTGCCGATAGTGAGCCCGCCGTGCAAGTGCTGCAAGATGGAGGCGAACGCGCTCCAGAAGAGGGAGGAGATGGCGACGACGGAGCTGTCCATCTGATGCGAAAAGGAACTTTTGAGGAGCTGCGCGTGGTAACAATAATTACGAAACGCTGTTTCGTCTCTTAATCTCTCGTGTAACTGTTCGTTCGCACTTCTTTATTTGGTGTCATGCGATGTGAAGTGTTCGATAATGATGTGTTTTTCCTATGTGATGATACATGCCAAGTTGCCAGCACTTTTACGTGCCTGCTGTGACGGACATCGATGAGAACAGTGTGCACGTAAAGAAATACTGTTTGAGGCATGGGTTGATTTATCATCTTCTCACTCAAGTCAAATTTCCGTTTTATGGGAATTAGTTGGTCCATCTCTAAATCATCCCTTACAGACTGCTCCTTCCATCCAGAAATTATAGGCTTATTTCCTATAAAAGGATGTCTTGCCTGTAAAGAGATTAAATTGTTGGTTAAATTGTACTAATACATCTCCAGCTTTGTCAAATGTGGTCCGTCCCTAAAAGAAAGTAATCATGTTTTAGAATATCAAGTTTGACTAATTATAGATAAAAAAGTATAAATATAATATCAAATAAAACTATTAGATTAATTACAAAATGTATTTTTATAATAAATTGATTTGGAGTCATAAACATGAATAGTATTTATCAGAAACTTGGTTAAACATGAAGAACTTTAACTGACACATAATCCATAGTAATATCCTTTTAGAGACAGAGGTAGTACCTATCCTTGAGTTTTTTAAACAAAAAGCAAGCATGACTTGTTAAGAATTTTTCGACTTATTGGAAATGTAACGACCCGTCCTCTTCATCAGTTTTAAAGCTTTCCTAACCAAGCCTAAGTTGTTAGTAGTGATGTCTCCTGTTTAAGTTTCTCTCTTTCTCTCAACCATGTCCTTGGCCAAGTCTAGTTGTCCCTTGTGAATACTGGTTTTGTGAGTTCTCATCTCTCGATCACCTATCATCAAGACCAACTTTACCTTGCAGTCAATCCTCATTCCAGGCTTATGTCGTCGAGTTGCCCACTCTGGCATTGTTCCCAGTACGGAAGCATGTCGGTCTGATTGGCACTCCTCATCTTTATATCTTTTCTTGGGATAACATTCCTCTTGAGGCCAAGCCTTGGCAAGTTGGCATGCAGCCCTTTGTGTTTCCGATCTCCACAATGCAGAATCCCTAACTTGCATGCAAGCCCCTCTGTAGGCCAATATTGGGTGACTCATCACCAGGGTTTTTAATTTTGGTATTACAAAAATTTCGCCCACCACCGAAATTACTGAATTTCGTGAAATTCGGTTGAAATTTCGCCGATTTTTTTGCAGACCAACACATGAAGTATTGTTTTTCTAAAAAAAAGTTAGATCTAAACAAATATTGGTATGATTTATGACTACACATCTATTGAATAGAAGAATATGCAATATAAACAATAGAAAATATGAGTCTAGAGTTATATAACACATGTAAGTGTATTACGAATTTTCGGATTTTTTTCCTTTCGGCCACCTCCGAAATTACTGAAATTCGCGAAATTTCGGTGAAATTTTGAACCCTGCTCATCACTCAGTAACTGAAACAGATGAGCAGGTTAAATTAAGAGAACCAAAAGAGAACAATAGAGGGACTACTTGAAAGTACATTTATTTCCTATGTGGGTTTTTGTAACACCTCGGGTGTTTAAAATACTAAAACCTGACATGTCATCATAGGCATTGCAAAGCATTTGGCATTTGGTGAAAACTTTGAGATGCATACACTAAAACAAGTTTATATTCATGTGGTATGTGTTGAATTGTATTGTTTGACTTAAATTCAAAGTTTGTTTGGATTTTGAATTTTTCGAGAAAACCCCGCTTTTCAGCATTTAAATCCTACCCTGAAAATCCATTTCAAAATCTAGACAGAATTAGGAGATGGTTATAGAAGCAAAGTTGTAGAACTTTCAATTTTGAACAACTTTTGTTTTTGGAGATTTTTGAGTTGTTATGAAAATTTGAGAGTAATTTGTGAATTTTGGCGTATAGCAAACTTGTAATTTCGACGAACAGTGTTCACCGCTTGCGCTACACCGCCGGGCGAGCTTGGCTTCATTTTCGATCGCTGTGGCGTGGCGTCTGGCGCGTCTATTTGCGAGGGAAATGGTTTCGTCGTGGCTTCTTTGAGTTTCTGGCCATCCTTTTTAAACGAGCCGTCGCTTGCCCCCGCTCCTTTCCTCTGCTTTTCGATCATCGCCGCCGCTTGACTCCGTCGTGGCTTCCTTGAGCTTTGCGTTGCTGCGCTATAATTACCAAGACGTCGTCATCGCTGTTTTTCTTCCTTTTGTTTTCACCACCGCTGTTGCCATCTCGGTAAAGGCCGTCCTAGTTCCGTCTTTTTCCTTGCGAATCCAACCCGGCTAGCCTTGGTCGCTTTGAAATTGCCGAGAACTTCTGTCCACGCTTTTTTTCTTCCTCGAGGTCAAGAACTTCACCGCTCGCAGGCGTGTCATCGTGGCTGAGCTTTTCGGTGAGCCGTTATGCATGTAATCAGTGTACTTACGGTTTCGTTTCGACGCTTGTAGTCTTTTCGTCGATTGTTGTTTACTCATTTTGATCGCTGCAGTCGCCGGTTCTCCCTTACCGACGATCTTTGCTTCGCATAGTTCACCATAGTGGTCGGATAGTTCACCATAGTGGTCGGATAGTTCACCATAGTGGTCGGATAGTTCACCATAGTGGTCGGGTGGTTCACCATAGTGGTGGATAGTTCACCATAGTGGTCGGGTGGTTCACCATAGTGGTCGGATAGTTCACCATAGTGGTCGGGTGGTTCACCATAGTGGTCGGATAGTTCACCATAGTGGTCGGGTGGTTCACCATAGTGGTCGGATAGTTCACCATAGTGGTCGGGTGGTTCACCATAGTGGTCGGAGAGTTCACCTAAGTGATCGGTGCTAGCATGGTCACATCAGTTACGAGTATGGTTTGGTTAATTTAGTTTGTAACTGTATTGCGAAGAAAAATTGTATCCAATTTATTAATTTTTGCATCCATCATCGAGCATCATGTTAAACATGGCAATGTTACTACGTGTAGTAAACGAAGGTGAGCACGTGGTAGTTAATCAAGTTGCGGAGGAGGTTGATCTGTCTGTTGAGGTCGGATCGAAGACTTGTGAAACGTCGCAGGAGCCAGACTTTTCCGTCAACGAAGGCAAGCCCCGGATGCATATAACCCTACCTTGTATTTTACAAATTGATTTCGCTTTTGCTTTTCAATACTGCATTAAGTGATTAGAAGTCAAGTGGAAACCTAATTGTTGCATTATCAACCTTGTTGTTCCATATCTACCTTGTTACCCGTTTAAAATCGTATATGCCTAGTTATGCTTAGCTCTCTGCTTAGACCGATCGAGTTGGGTGATTACTGTCACCTGCGAGTTTTAAATGGAACTTTGGTTACTTTGTTATTATCATGATATGGCAATGTGGAGTAATAAATCTAGACCGGGCGGACTCGGTGTGTGTGAGCCACAAGACCTGGTAATGTCTTGTGAGCGGGTTCTTTCCGCCTGTGTCGATTAAGGTCCGTACCGTTGGTGAACTGTTGTAGGTGGGACTTTGTAGTACTAACCACATACTCCGGTAAGCCTTAACTTGGCTATTCTATTACGAGAATGGCTACTCGCGCACTGGGAGTGGAGAGATGGCGGGAATAGCGTGTACCCACGTGGCAATGAAATTTGGAGTGTGGAGTACTGTATTCTCGGGTGGCGCGGACCCGTTCTTGTTTAGAGGATCCAAGGGTAGGTTGGTATATGTAGGTCGGGGACCTACATATGTCGTGGTGGTCTGGAATTCCCGATCTGGGTTTATAATCGATTCGAATCGTCGTTGCTCCTCGGTTATGGAGACTCACTTCTCTGTTCATCATCGTAGTATTAATAATGGGAACTCGAGAATGGTTTGAGAAAGTGTTGGATATGAAGTTTCATGATCTTATACGGATCATGTCAGCTTTGTATATGATCTTATGAGATTTTAAATATTGATACAAAGAATTTTGTTAAAGTGCTTTTTACAAAAAGAACTTTGATTATTGCTAAAGCCATACCTTGAATCCCTCGAGCTGCATTCACGAGTCTTATCGGTTTTATTTTTGGTTAAGTCTTGTTGAGTACTTTCGTACTCGGGGTTTGTTGACCCTTGTTTGGTGAGGCTCATGAGCGATCTGTTTTGGATCGTCTTTGCATATGACTGTTGTTCTGTGCGATGATGATAAGTAATGTGTGGCCCTTAAGGCGAGGCGGCGATATTTGTGTGTTTTGTAATATATTATAATGCCACTCCCCTACTTTGGTTTGTATTAATAATCGAACTTAGTTTGTAAGGTTTGAAATAAATGTTTTGTAAACTAAGTTATTGTAAGACTTCCGCTGATTTACTCTGGTGTAGATATTTGAATAAAATGTAATATCTGCAATGACTCACGTAATGTGATCCTGCTTTCGGAAATCGTGGATGATTCGGGGTTCTCCGAGGACACCCGACGATCTTCTTAAGTTATCGGTAACATATGCATAAATGTCAAAGGTCGTTGGACGTTGGCAGTGCATGTGGGCCCTATAATTTAGGAGGTTCCGCCACAGAATGGTATCCAGAGCGATCGTTACAAGGTTTTTGTTGTATTGTTTTACAAAAACTTCAAAATGATTTGGATGACTAAATTTAACTTGATAGTTTGGTCCAAATTGCTTCGACTTATCTTATTTCTTTCTCACCATTCCTTATTTGATTAAAAGGGTCTTGTGTGGTGGAGTAGTAATCTTACTATGCCCTATATAAAAAAATAAATGTTGTTTATGTGCATTCTAAACTTTGATGTTTTTGTTCAGTAAGAACGATTCATGCATCATGAATAATTCACTCGTTACTTCCTTCACCTCTTAGTGCTGGAGTTGAGTAGTGAGTCGATTTGAGGAATGTAATCCATCATAGCTGCTCTTTAGACTTTGATCAAGTGGTCTTACTTGGATTAAATTGGTTTCCTTTCAGTATGGCT